AAAGGTGGGGGTGGGGGCGTGTGTGACCTATACGCCACTGATGTTATATAACTAAATCGTATACCGACTTAAAATTTTATAAGAAATAAGAAAGCAGGGACACCCGCGAAATTGGATGTATGTGAGTAGGATTATCATGTTTATTCTAAAAATTCACATTGATATTTTGGAATTGTCGGAATGCGAGACCAAGGGATGCAAATTCGTGGCGGCTTGAACTATTTGTATGAAGCTTCATATGTCAGAAGTTAGAAGGCCTGACTGCAATATGCCTCGCACACAGATCTTTTATGTAACGATGTTTCTATCTGTCATATGTCCATTGCCCTTGACCTCATTTTCATGGTTCAGCGAATTCCTAACAAAATGAATAGCTGATAATGGTTGATATCTATGATCAAGGTTAACATTTCGTGTTAAAGTCCGTATCTCTAATACCATAAGTAATAGGTCAACTATATTTGCTCGTATGGCGCATATGACTATTTAAATGACCTTGAACTTATTTTCTTGATAAATTGGTAAATGTTCATTTTTTTAGGGGGTTGGTTTTAATGATTGTAATGTGTTCATGTCCGTCTGGCAGGTTTCATCAGACCTTGGCTTTTTTTATGGTTCCATGAACAATGTTAATTTTATGAGATACTTTTATTAAATTATTTATCTTACAGACCTTCAAAATCAATTCGATAACGATCATTCCAGCAGTCGCGACATGTCAGTGCGTACAGTCACATTTGTATAAATAAAACGTAGTATTTATTTTTGTTAAAAAAAAACGCAATTGAAGTTGTTTTGCCATGTCTGATTAGTTTATCTCGTTCGTGTAAGCCTTAATTATGAATTGTTAGACTTTTTTTTAATTCAAGAACGGTGCAATCTTGTTTGAAATTCTTGGTTGGTTTTAGCTCACCTGGCCCCAAGGGAAAAGTTAGCTTTTTTTCATCACCTGGCCCCCGTCGTCTGTCGTCTTCCATTAATTTTTTACATAATCTTCTCCTCTGAAATTACTGGGCTACAATACATTTAACAAACCTTATCCACAATCTTATGTCGGGTTTAAAAGGTCTAACGAACTTATGTTTAACTGTTTTTCATCATCATTGGGGTACCCCGCTTGTCAACAAAGATGGCCGACATGGCTTAAAATAGAACATAGGTGGATGCAAGTTTTGTCTATTATTTGAAAACAGCTATATATAGAGAAAACAGGGGCAGATATTTTCACAAATTTCTCCTTTTTTCCATTTTTGTCTATTATCTTGAAATATATAAAAGTTATATAGCAAAAATGATCAGCAAGACAATATATACAAATAAGTCGACTTGGTCGATATCCTTGTAAGAATTATTGACCTTTAATTACGATTTTTACCATTTCTTTGCGTTTTTGCCAATTATCTTACAAAAGTCTACTCCTCTTTAACAATTTAATCAAACTTGGCCACACGCTTTATTGAGGTATCTGGTTTAAAAACCCACATGATCAGCCATTTGTAAATTTATTTTTTGTTTCAGGGTACCATTGTTAACGTTGCTTTTCATTAAAAAAACCAAAACCGAGTTCTATACAAAGACAAAACCGGGTCATTGTGTAGTAAACAACATTGACAAAACCAGGTGCTTCCATTTTGACATGACCCATTTCTTTCGTTCCATACGCAGAACTACACGGATTGAGGTGCTCAAAGTGATTAGGTTTGCAATCTCCATGTCAATATCTTTCTTTCCGTACCATGTGAACAATTTAAGGAGAAAGTTAAACAAATTAGAGGCAAGGTTCACTCAATTCGTCATTTTGACGTGCATTTTGACTTATTTCTCCGATAATCTAGAACGGTTGTAGAAATATTACATCTCACAATAGAAAATAGTTATATATGTATAAATATTTTTCGATATCATAACAATAGCAAATAAATAAACAGAAAACTACCTTTTCTCCGACTATTGATGTTCCGTCACCGTGCCGGATATTAGATACCATCGAATCCAAACATTTTTTGCCGGGGTAGTTTAGACACAGTGTATATTTGAAAGATAACGACAACAGGAAGTTTTCTAGCTGCTGTTTAAATAGTAATAAATGTCCCAGATTTCAACCAACATTTAAATAATAGGAGTTTTTAAAGAAATAAAATACATGTTATTAGTAGTTTCTTAAAAGTACATATACAATTAAAGCAATTGCATTAAAGGATATCGACATTTGATACGTTGGACGGAGCACAAGAAGTTAATTAGACAATTATTGTTGTAAAATCTTTATTCAAATTCGATTTTCGTAATTGTAATACGGTGACTTATGGTTGTTTACATCTTCTTGCGTTGGTGTCTGTGGTGGATAGTTGTCTCATTTGCAATTATACCACATCACTATTTTATTATATTTTTTTCCCTTTGACAGAACATGCATAATTTACCCATATTTATTCATCAAGTTTAGAATTTTAACAAGTAGGCATTGTAATTTAAATGTAAAAAGGATGAAAAATGATCAAGTTATAGTAAATGCTAGACTGTATAAGTAAGTGATTGATAGATATATACTTAACTTTTTTAATAAACTCGTCTGTTCAACAATTTGCTAAAACCAGTAATTTTTTTTTATTCAGAGCCTTTTAGTAATGAAAAGCTCCCATAAGTTACTATTATTTCAAGGTTCTGTATATATTCAGTCAAATATTTTACCGCGGTTTCTATACGATAAGGTAAACGAAATCTGATTGGATAAGTATAGTCTGCTTATGCAGTGAGTTCCATAAATCAGGAACATAGTTGACCGTTTTTCGTAAGCACCTTGCTCACGTTTAAGTTACCATGCCAACACGTTTCTTCTGCCTACGCTTATGAGGTGCTACGAGTTGCTCAATGGTACGCAAACAATCTGTAATGTACTATTTAAGGGTACAAAAGTAGACAGCTGCTTATTTCTCTAGCGTATACGACCACAGCATTTCTCTAGTTAACGTTTAATTGCACTTTGGTCCGATTAACACGGTGTATATTCGGAACGCTTGCTTTCCGATTAAATCGCCGGTAAGGCTTGCTTTTCCGATTCCAGAAACGCGTACTTTCCGATATTGCAAAATATTACAGCGAGTATTGAAAGTTAGGTTACTACAATCTTTAAAAATAATGGATTACTAATTTTCTTGAATAAAATTGAAGTTGACTGAACAAAAAAAATAACCAGGTATCCAGTTTCATTATTCATTGTTTCTTCGAATAAAAAAATGAAAGTGATTTCGTTTACATCAAAATTGCGATGTCTTGAAATATAGACTTTGCAGCCAAACATATTAAAATTTTAACAATCTCATCCACCATTAATGATCTTTCTCAACATAGTTTTTTAAAGGGGTTGATTTATCATTTTTATACAAACTATAAGACCCCAAATGATCTTATACATGTAAGGTTAATTCATCGTTTTTTCTTCATCTGAAAATCGATGTGTAACGCATACTTTGAGATTCAGGAAACACTTACTTTAAGTAAAGAAAGTTCAGTCAAACATAGTATGCTCAGACATGTTTCATTGAAGAAACAAATATTTTAATCTGGCAGAAGGACAAAAAATACTAAGATTGATAATTTTCGTAATGTTACAAGTTACAATCTTTAATATCTAAAGACCTTTTGAGAATGGCCATACAACACACAAATATTTATTTAACAGTTCTTATTTACAGTATTATAGGCCTTCAGTTATATTTGTCATCGTTTGTTTTCAATGAACACACGCGCAATCACCCCTCTACGTTCTATAACACAGACTGGTTGGTTTTATTTGTCTCTAGTTTTTCACTTTTCCGGCCTTGACTGGCCCATTGGATTTGTTCTTTTCCTCCTAAATTTCGCATTTTAAAATTTCGAATGAAAGATGTATCAATTTCCAAATTTTACATAAAATATATAGGTAAAATCGTCAAAAAGGCTTCAGTCATAATATGTCTGGTCATTAATGTACCACGAATAATCATGCACCTTGTCACTTAGTAAAATTGGCATATCTTAAATTAATATTTGAAATGACTGTTTCCGGTTTTATTTTTGTTTCATCATTTTCACTGAGCTTGGTCTCAGTATAGAATCGTGTTTCTTAAAAAAAAAAAGTCTTTTAAGCATGCAAAATCTTTGTTCCTAAATTATTCAAATAAAACATAAAGTCTTTAAAAATAGATTCTTAGTAAGGAAGTAAAGAAGACAGTCTGACACACAGCTTGGTGCCGAAATAAATAAGTATTATTTAACTAACATGTATGTGATGCACTGGCATACCAATTCAAGAGTAGATTTGACCAGTTGCCGAACAAGGTGACAATTCAACTTGTTACATCGGCTTTGTCGTAGAGTGTTAATTAATAAACATCAAAAACAAATACACTTTTATAGCCTGCATGTGATCCGATGATTGGGGAATCGTTCCATCTGAAAAAAAGTTGTTTTCTGAAAATCGGAAAGCAATCGTTCCCCAGAACGACGCTGAAAATAGACAATCTGAAAGACAGCGTTTCCTGTGATTTTTTTCAACGGGAATTTTTTTTCTAGATTAAATGAATTTTGAGATATGGAACAGTAATAATGAAAAGAAAGGTAATTAAACGATTTGAAAACTGGATTAGTTTAAAAAAAAATAAACAGTTTTATACAATAGAAATGCATTCTTGTGTTTAATCGTTTACAGTGTTGCGTTTGTGGTACCGTTTACGACCTGATAAAATAATTTTATAATGGCATGTATTACATTTTTATCAAGTAAAATAGCTCTAGTGTTCCATGAGATACAAGAGAGAACACCAAATACCACCCAATTAGAGCATCATCCATCCTCATCTCGTGTCTCCTGCTTCTTCGTCAACACAAATCCGATAGCAAGCGTTACGCGTATCGGAAAGCAAGCGTTACCGTTGATTGAATCGAAAAGCAAGCGTTCTGACTATACACCGCGAATAACACTTTATTATTTTGTCAACGTTTTACGTTTCTGTCATGAATGTCTTAGTTAGAGAGAATAGAGAATTGCTTTGGACGTTTTTAATGTATAATGTTTATTTTGAAACGTAAACTAAGTCTGTAAACGCTGTACATGTATGCCTTTAAGCGTCTTCATTTTCTTTTCGACTTTACATATAATCTGTCATTTATAAAAAAATTATTGACATGAAACGATGAATTTTACGTTAGCATAAATGACTCTTTCCGGCTTACCTATCATCAGCTAGTTGTGCCAATTTCACTTTCTAAATCAAATAAGTTTACTAATGTAGAAAATCCGCACTATTGAAGTATATATAGTCCACGGCATTTTAACATGTATTCTAAACAAGTAAATGTATCACTTAGATTCTATCCAAAAAATGATGACAAATAAGTCATATGTCACAAATAAATGGATAGTTATTACCAGTACATTCACGGTCGTCCCATAGATATTCACCACTAAAATAACGGTAAACCATACAATTCTGATCTCCACCGGCATTATCAGGTCTGCTAGGACCCCAATAATCAAGTAGAATATTCTCCTCTGGGTTATTCCATGTCCAGTTACCTTCTTTTCCTTCATCAGAACCGTCGATCCAAACATAATGAACACTTCCTGAAAGCAAAACCATAATTTGAATATTATATAAATCATTGTTTTAAATAAATTTGGTTTTATGTATTCAATTAATGAATTTGATGGTTCATAATAAATAGCAGATACATGAAGGTATAAAACGATTTATTCGTCATGGTGTTAGCAAGAGTATCAAAAGTCGAAATCCAGAAAGTCCTTACAAACTATGTTATTTTCATAGGTGTACAAAGTTCTACACGGTTAATTTACTAAACTCTATACGTTGTTACAGGTTGCTTGAGTTTCCTGTAATGATTTCCTTGAGGATTGCTGCTTATGAGGAAGCTATATAACAAAGGGCTCTTGGTTGTAAAGAAGGAGTTATCTCTTCGTAAGTTTAACGAACGTCATTATGATTTAATTGACCTATAAAGAGTTATCATATCTAGTGCCATTATTTGAACCGTAACCTCTTTCCCTTCCGGCTCATCCCTATACGTTGGGTTTCATGTTGTTCAATCTTTGGTTTCTATGTTGTATTTTGTGGAATGTTGATTTTTTCTTTTCCGTGATGTTATTTGTTTTGCGATGACTTATGGTTTTTGATTACCCCTTAAGGTATCTTCTTACTTATATCTATTAATGAACTGTTACTTACGGCCTTAGATACCAGAATAATGGTCCAATCTATATCGTATCCTTATTCCGATTGTGCCATTTTGACTGAGTGTGGATTCGCATGGCGGGTAATGCATGCATGCATATATGTACATATAGATGGTGACCCTTACCCGGTCTTGCTGCTTTTGGAGTTCATTCGATTCCCCCGAGTTTTTGTTTGTTTTGTTTGTTTCCTTGATTTGTCTTCTTAAACGATTAATGAGATTTGAACATCGGTAAACTACAAGCGCCTTAATTTACTTACGGACAATACTCATTGCGACTGTATTTTGGAAAATAATCCAATAAAACAAAAGCAGAATATAAGTAAAGCTTACTTATTCTTGAAGCTTATAAAAGTTCTTGAAATTTATGTGCATTGAAGACTGGTACGGAGTAACAAATATTGAACTAAACTGCTAGTCTGAAAAAGTATTTCATATATTCAACATGTCTAACTATTAACGTTACCACAAATGAACATATCTGCGTTTTTGTATTCATACAATTGGGTTGTTAAGATCAAAACAATCGAGTGTATAAATAAGTTGTATTCTGGTAAAATTTCGTTAACAACCTACCAGGTATGACGTTTCTAATCAACTCATCATCAACAGGGTTCAAAACCTTTGCAAGGTGTCCTCCAAATGAAATACACTGTGCCTATATATACAACAAAAAGAAGAATTTCATTGAAAACTGCAGTTAAATTTGATTTATAGGTCTAACATTAAAATGAATCCACTTATTTACCGTACTGTGTATACAGTTTTGGAGTTAACTGAAAGAGGGTATTGACATGAGGTCTTGACTGGAAGTATTAACTGACAGACTTCTTCCCAATAAAACGTTTATGGCGTAATGGTGTATAGTGAAATTGTGTGTGGTGCATGGATCAAAACGTCAGCGACGTTACATCTGCCGTAATGTTAATTTCAGTTATTGCACCCTAAATAAAAGTAAAAAAACATGTTTATTTTTTCTTTGAGTGCATCATCATGATCTAAAATTTAAATCAATAGTCTTGTGCAATAATAAAATACATTTATTCAATTTTAAAGAAAACGTACACGTTCAAATTAAGCGTATTTTTAGTGTGTCGCGTATTTTGCATTTCAATCTATGAAACAGTAAATAGTTTGCACTACAGCTGCTACCACCAGACGAAACGGACCAACTTAAACAAGGACTAGTCATGAAGATCAGATGAAAAAGTGTAAAAATGGTAATGCTCCAGAACAAATAATAAGCGTAACCTTTATTTTGCATGTAAACAACCATTGACTTCCCCCTTTTCCTAGCGTTACGGGTGTTTATTTTTGTAAGAGCATCTGGTAGTGTCTTGCTGTAAACTTATTCTTCAATACCCAAATATTTTGTTGAAATCTTATTTTATACGAACAAACGCCGCCATGCTGAACAAACAACATCGAATTATTCTTGAAATCTTTTTAGAAAATTGATAACGTCGTAAAAAAATCTTCCCAGCGAACCTAAAACGGCAAGTGAGAACAAGACGAATCGAGACTACTCCAATCCATGTTTAAACATATAATTGAAATTCAAATCATTTGAAGAAAAAGATCCTAAAATTTGTTGAAAAAATGCATTATTTGATTTCATTGCTAAAATGACAAATCAGGACGGAAAAAGTATTTGTTTGTAAACACGCTTATATGAAGCGAGTTCTTTCATTATTTTTCTAAAATTTATGAAAAAATAAATAATACTTTTTTTCAAAATTCTAATGAGATAATAATGTTTTAAAAAGGCATTCAAACGCATGCAGTAAAAATGTTTTTCAGAATTTCTAACTTTTTTTTAATTTAAATATTGCTAATTTTTTAATACCGCAAAAGAGATGGAACCATCTGACTATTTCTATTTCTAACAAGCATCTCTGAAAAAGAATTACAACTTTTTGATTACTTCAAGCAATTTCTATAAACAAGAATCAGTTTATATATAATGTAATCAAATTTTTTTTGGAGCATTTCAAGTTATATTTGCTCTTTCCTGATGCAAAACAGTTTGAATGTTCATACACAGGAACATCGCTTAACATGGGTGTCCAAGACATAACAAATCATGAACATCGAATATTCCACGAACTTCGAATTTTAATATGGAGCTGCTAGTGTCAAACTCTATATTCCATATCATAAACAAGAACCATTACAAAATATCAAAATTTTATCAGCAAGAACACCTAATATTGACAAAAAAAGAAAGGAAATGTTGTTACAGACGTTCAGTAATGATTTCAATAATTACTATTTCCAATTTTCTTTCATCAAAGTGCAAACATTTTGATAATTAAAACTACTTGATTTTATATAATAATATTGTTATCTTTGAATTTTGAAAGAACTTTTGATGCTCTAATAATATATTTGAAATTATTTCTATTTCTAGAAAAGTAGTGTAGTTTTTTATCATATTAATATTACATATTTTTAAATCATAATTAAATTTTACATTAAGACTTCCCGCTTTTTTCCCTGATCCTGGAACTGATAATCAGTATAAGAAACTGTTTAATCCGTGGGTACTTAAAATGAAACTTCCAATAACTCTTTGAGGGGTCAACGTGTGACATACTACAGGATTTTTATTTCATTGAGCAACTATAAACACTTTATGGAACTTTTGCAATTACGATAGTAATTTTGACAATCCTTAATAAAACTCGTTCTCTTCAACAAGGTTAAATGTGGTATTTATTTTGTAGGCTAATAACAGGGCCTTCTTGCACAAAAGGAGTTGTATTGAAGCACTAAATTTTGTAGAACACACAGTGATCTCAAGATGTTTTTTTTAAAGTTATTTTACTGTTAAATGGGATATTGTTACACCATTGTGTGTTTGCGCAATATACTTTTATTCGTATACCAGTAATCATAGTAAATATCTGAATATAAAATCAATATCGAAAACAAATTAAACAATATCATAAACTTTTTCCAGTGTTCCTATTTATCATCATACGTTTTACTTTTTCACTTTATTGTATTTCCTGTATTTCCTGTATTGAAACTTTCATCAGAATCACTGAAGCTAAATATATAAAGTCTAATACATTCAAGTTGTTTCAATAAATCTCAACCATACAACACAAATCAACGATAAATCTGAATACACTCCTCCAATCGATACTATTTGCATCGATATCTAAACATCGATTAGTTCAAAGTAGTAAACATGTTTTCTTTCGTTTTCAATTAACTAACAAACGTTTCAAAGAAAATTCATCTCACCTTTTATCTCCGATTTGAAGTCATGAAATAGAAATCACTAACATTTTTTACATCATATTCTGTTGAAAAAAGTCAAACTTTGTATGGTACAGATAAAAGTTTATTTAGGTTTTGATCCTTTTGGGAATGGGGAACTTGTTGGAAGTGGTGGTGGTGGGCAAATGAGGCGGTTGATGAATTTGATTATAATAATAAAGACTATAGCTAGATATAAGAAGATGTGGTATGAGTGCCAATGAGACAACTCTCCATCCAAGTCAAAATTTATAAAAGTAAACCATTATAGGTCAAAGTACGGTCTTCAACACGGAGCCTTGGCTCATACCGAACAACAAGCTATAAAGGGCCTCAAAAATTACTAGTGTAAAACCATTCAAATGGGAAAACCAACGGTCTAATCTATAGCTGTACATTTGTGGATATCCATAAGACATAAATGGGTACATATAATTTGGTTTATAAATTGAATATCTTGACATACGTGGCTTGATCAGATGAAACTGGACGGGTAATGGTACTATGTAACTGAAAGAGGGACGAAAGATACCAGGAGACATTCAAACTCGTAGATCGAAAAAAAAAACTGACAACGCCATGGCCCAAAAATAAAAAGACAAACAGACAAATAATAGTACAGATGACACAACATAGAAAACTAAAGTCTAAGCAACACGAACCTGTGAAAGTGTTATAGAAGTTGTTTTTTTATAGGACTTGCACATCTGGTTTTAACATAGCAGATGATTCATATGAGCATTATTGTTATCATCAAAAATATCTTAGAAAGAAGAATTTCTTTTTAGCATGCTCAAATTTGAAAAAAAGCTTTATAGAGTTCATCGTCATCATGTTTTGGGTCTTGTTGTGGGATCTTACAGTTGTAGAACTTCGCAAGGGTTAGCAAATCTCTCACGGATAGGTAGGTACACAATGCATATTTCACAGGATTAATAGCTCTTAATTTTGGTTTCATTAGATGTGTTAATGATGACTAAGACCTATCTGCAAATGTATAAATATTTTTTTTCATGTCTGACCTCTGTTATGTCACTATTCAAATATCTGATTTCTTTCTCTGTCTCCTTTTTCTTTATGCTCGCTTCTGGTTTGTGAGTGTAGCTCCTACCACCATACTCAAATGAAGTCCATGGCTCTTTGTCACAACGTGATATATCCTTGTTTTCATCTGATCTATGACATAGAATATGGCATATTGAACATGTATGGTTTTTGTACGATCCTTCAGTTTCAAGGAGATGAACTTTTTAATCGCATTTTGAGCTGCATAAGCTTTTCCTAATTTGTCTTTCAGTTCTTTCTTAGGTTTTCTTGAAGCTTTGGCAAATTTTCCTTTTCATTATCTTTTTTGAATGGTTCTAGGTTGTTATTGCAGTTACCCAAATCACAGGTTTTTGTGATGGTATCAATATTCAAATGTTTAATTGCAACTTCGATTTTTCTTTTATGACCTAAGGGCATTCTTTCATCTTGGGTCATGATCAGCAAGTCGTCTTTTGTCTCCTTTGTATCGATTGTTCATACAGAGTTAACGTATGTAAATCCATGTTCACTAAATGTGGCAGAGTACTTCTTAAAACCTGGACCCAGTTGTAATAAACAGTCTTCAGAGGACTTCATTTTGCTCTAAAATTGCTTAGGTTTAGAGTCTCACTTTGCTTGAGAACAAGTAAATGCCAATGTTTTTTTCTTTCATTGTATATTCATGTATAGATTCGTATAAGGTGAATCTTTATACACATTTTCACATATTAAAAGGAAGAAACAAGGAACAGTTGGACAACACCATCATCTTGATTTACATAATCAGTTTAAAGTCCATACTATTTCCATGATTTTTTTCAACGAATGGAATTTAAGGAAAACAAGAATTGCAAATACGGGATGAAATAACCCAGTTCTGAATAATTATAATTAAAAGATTGCATCATTCTGGATTAAAAACATATTTTTGTTATCTCCGAAAAGACTGGTATTAGCCAAAAACTATTAGTAAATGCAGTTATTTTGTTTTAAATGACAATGTAGTTAAGGAGAGTCTAGAAGGGACACCATGACAGAAGAAGTGTTAACATTTCAGGATGTTTTTTCAAGACATAAAACTATCTAAAACTTATTCAGAAATAAGAAAAAAACTAGTTGTAAGTGGGGTCCGTCATCAGCGGAATGTTCCATCGTTCAAATATTTTTCACATTCTTGTGTACATGTACTTGGATACTCATAATTGGAGACTTTACCTGTTGAAACTTACAAAAGATTATATCCGGTTGCAGTCTGATTAATTTGTGGAATTCATAAGCAATAAGAACCCAAATACCTAATTTTTTTATGAAAGTTGTGTAATAAAAACATGTAGTAATGGATATAATGGAAGGTCGGTCAAGGTTTTTAAGCATTTGAATTACAAAGATTTGCTTCAATCGGAAATTATACAATAAATCTACTACATTCAAGATTTGATGGGAACTGTTTTAATGTTATTGATGGTCCAACTGGTAGTTTTGAACTTATAAACTCTTTTGCTGAGGCTATTGCTATCAATGATGATAAATTAGCAAATAGACAGCAACCCATTTATATACCTGGTGACCAATTATTATGGAAATTGTGCTTTTAGTGATTCACTTAAAGTTAATATTACTAGTACCTTACCTCAACTGTTTAGACCAGAGTTACCTTAAAATATCTATCCCCATACCACCTTCAACTTAATACATGTAAATATTGCTTTCACATAATAGAGCAAATGTTGAGATGAAACAGTGATTTCGGTTTTGTTCATACAAGAACTGTAATATTTAATGCAGTAAAAGGTGGAACAAGAAATTTGCCTTCTCAATTCTTACTAATGCTGTCCTTATTTGATTCGATTTCTAACTTCACCTTAATTATGCAAAGTCTTAAAGGTAGAGATGAAAGTTGAAAAGAAAGAAATCCCCAAACATTTAAGGTAGATTCATGGTATACCGCCATTTTGGATTGTACAATCTCAGTACAAAAATGGTCTAGTTATTTGCCCAAATCTGCAAATTTGAAGACAGATTTGCAATTTAATGGTTAGATTGTTTATTTATATAAGGAAAACTTGGTGATTTATTGTATTATTCAAAATATTTAAACAAATATCAAATTTTGTGTTTTTAGAATCATTTCTTTCAAATAAGCCATTTAAGGGGAGATAACTCTTTTAGTAAAAAATATATACTGGACTGAAAGGGAAATTTTTAATTTTTACATGTAGCAAGAAAACAAGTTCGGTGACACCATTTTTTCTTTTTATTTTCTTAAAACATATTATAAAACCTATCTTCTTACAATTTATTTCAATATTCTATCTCATAGATTTTTTTTATGCACACAAATGTGTTTTTTCATGAACAATCTAACCAAATTTAGGCAATTTTCAACGACTCATAGCTTAGAAAATAGCACGGTGACCCATACTTTTTATTATATTTTTGAAAAGCATGGTAAAATCTTCCTTTTGGCAAAGTATAAGAAAATTCTATCTCAAAAAGTATATACTTATGATCTACCTTAATACAACATCTAATGCAGCTAAAAGAGCTTAAATTGTCAAATAATAGTACAAAACATTCCAAAAGAATGATATCAAAACAGTTGAAGTTTCTTTTCAAAATTATTGACAATTGTTTAAAAAATTGTCCTTATGTTTCATAGATATTCCATTCAATTTCTCATTTTCTGAAAAGAAATAACGGTTTAGTTTATTTATTTCGTATTTTCCCTCTAACCTATAGGTTGATCGATGTTTCATTAGGACAGGTCAATATCTGGTACCTTAATTTAAATATTGTCATTTTCAAGTTTTTATTGGTCAAATAAAAAAAATATGGAAAACACATAGCAAAATTTTATAGTAGAAATAATTTGTTCTCTTTAATCAGTGTTATTGGAATGTAGTCTCATTGACAATCATACAACATCTAATTTTTATATTATTGGGCAAAATGAAAAATATAACTTTTGTAAAAAGTTATGAGAAATGTTTTAGACAATTTTATTATAACTGGTGCGTATTGCGAATAAATTATACCAGTTTCTTATGATTGGCTTTTTATTGAGAAATTTAAGGTACTCATTAAATGAAATCACTAGAGAACAATAGTTACTGATTCTATTCAATGGCACAATTCATCTTTCAAAAATTAAAAAAGCTTGCCTAACACCAACTGATTATCATGTTAGTTTTTTTTCCTTCTTGTCAGTTACATACACGTTGTTTGTTTTTACACTTCTTCTTACAAATGTATTTATAGGTTTGAAAATAATTTGAAATAAACTCCTCATTGATACCAGTATTACAAAGACTTATCTCCGTTTGCCTTTTCCATCATAAACCGAATATAAATTTTACTAAATGTTAAAATAGGAAAGATCAGGCGCCCTGATTTATCAATTGAGTGGAAAATTGAAATCTATAGAAAATTCTATATGGATTAAACAAATTGAATTAAAAGCTTTGAGACAGACAAACAAATTAATACAAACAACACATATTTTCAACTAAAGATTTAGGCAAAACGAATGCTAATCAAAACTGGGACAGTTAAGAGAGATGATCTGGAATGTTAGCATTACAATATATTTAAGCTACAAAGCATTGCAACATACGAAACTTTAACTATTCAACAACTACTTGTCTAATGATCATCTTATTAAACATATTTGAATGAAATATTTATTGAACTGTAGACAACAACAAGACACATCAATTAAAAAAACACGTTTAAGTTAATACATAAAAAAAAGCAAATGGACTTTGAGAACCAAGTCCATTGTAATGTTTCGTGACTCAATTGTTTTGTAATTCTAATTTGACCAACAACAAGATTATGACACATAAACTACAAACCCAATACACATGCCTATAAAAAGCACAAAACAAAACATAATAAAGTCGTAGCTACATGTATAAACCCACTTAAGACTGAGGGCTACTTTAGTCTTCTAAAAGAATCAGGAATTCCTGCTCTACACTCTTAAATGTCGAACAACTCTCCAAGAAATAGGAAAGAAGGACATGTTGAAACTACAGACAATTGGCACGTAATCTACAAGATAAACACAACAATTCATTCACTTGTTCACAATTTGTTTTTTTTTGTGTGTAAAGTTATATATGTGCAATTTATTTGTATGTTATCGGAAAATATATTACTCATCACCTCTGCATCTGGCCATGTTGTTAGCTGATTGAAGAATACTTTGGATCTGAAAAGAGAGTATATTTATATAAATAAGTAAAATATGGTTTGCCATTTTCAGTTTATATTTCACATGGACCAGAAGTGATATTGGAGGTAGTTTAATATAGAAAAAAAGTAAAAATAACAAGAATACCGAACTTCAAGGAAACTTCAAAACGGAAAGTCCCATATCAAATGGCAAAATCAAAAGCTCAAACACATCAAACGAATGGAAAACAACTGTAAGAAAGTAACACTAACTGATTAGAGACGTCTGTACTTTCGACATTAATCGTACAGTTCCTACGTATCAGACCTTTCATACATACTATCATGCATGTGTATACCACTCAAAGAAAGTTTTGCAACTCTTCCATAGAGATTGGGGGACAAAGGTGCAAGGGAAATGTTAGTTTCTCTGTTCATATGTAATCAGTTATGCCATCAGATTCATCACTTAGACCAGTTTGTGCGTTGTATGCATTTTTTAAAAACTAGACCATGCATCTGCAAATAATTGTTAACATTGTGACTTTTAATTTTGATCCCTTCCATTAAAGTTTGCGAACAGTATAGCTGTCTAAAATTTGACCAACATAACTGTAGTACTTTTGAATACACAAACGATTGAAGATTGAGAAAACAAAGACTTGAAAGAAAAATCGAGGTTTTGCTTTACTTTATTTTCAGTCAGAAGCTGTGTTTGCTTAACTTTTTTGATAGTTCATAATGAGCGATGAAACATTGAATTTAGATTCCAGTTTGAGTTTTTTTCCGGTTTCAATCTGAAATATGCTCCATCCTCATTATAAATGCCATAAGTTTATATTTATGCCTAATAGGTACGATATTAAGATAAGATTAACTTGTCGAAAATAAGAGTTTGTTCCCAGTATTAAGATTTTTTTTCTTCAAATTATGTCCTGTGAGGTGCAGTATAACATCAATTAGCCAAGGGAGAAACAATTGTCATCCTATAAAATACAAATAACTTGTTTTAAATGATTTAATCAAGACGATGCTTCTCTAAGTCATTTTACACGCTTAAAATCTTAACCTTTTTGTTGATTAATCTATTATATTGTTTAAATTTCGTAAATTTTCAAATTTCTTCAGTTTAATTATTACAGTTCATATTTTTGCCGTTTTAAATAAATAATGACCATTATATTTTTCTGGGTGTTTTGTTTGTTAGCGGATATGTTCCTAATGAAGTAACTACAATCCCGTTCCCTTTTCACGTATGTGACCTTCCGAATTAAACTATTTACCGAGATTTGTAATAGCATGAGCAACACGACGGGTGCCTCATGTGGAGCAGGATCTGCTTACCCTTCCGGAGCACCTGAGATCACCCCCAGTTTTTGGTGGGGTTCGTGTTGCTTAGTCTTTAGCTTTCTATGTTGTGTTTTGTGTACTATTGTTTGTCTGTTTGTCTTTTTCTTTTTTAGCCATGGCGTTGTCAGTTTATTTTCGATTTATGAGTTTGAATGTTCCTCTGGTATCTTTCACCCCTCTTTTAATTGATTTGAAAATCAACATGATAATTTTAAAGAATCATAGTTATCTTAAAAATAATATGATTATCAGTATTATGTGCAAATGGTCGTGAATCAATATTGGTTATGAAAAATGGTACAAATGATTTCGGATATCATATCATACTTGTATCTTTAAATACAGATTTTGTTGCATTTTTGAACAATGGATCAGAAATGTGAGATTGATTAATGCGATTGCAATATAAGAATGCTTCATAAATCAGGCTATTAGTTTTCTCGTTTGAAGTGTTTTACATTTGTCATTTCGGGGCGTTTTATAGCTTGTTATGCGGTGTAGGTTTTGTTTATTGTTGAAGGCCGTACGTAAACTATAGGTGCTAACCTCTACGTCTTTTGGTCTCTAGTGGAGAGTCGTCTTATTGGCAATCATATCACGTCCTCTCATTTCTTTTATATTTATACAAATAATGCTTTCAGAATTTAAGATACGAGTTCTTTTTTTTTTGCGAAACCTATTTCATCGCAATCTTTGCAGTAAACATGGCAAATTTTTCTGAATTTTCAGTTTAAAAATACTTATATTTGACAAATATACATCCCGTTTTATATATAAAACGTCTGCATTCTTAGAAGTTCCCATTTTACATACATTTCTTCATTTAGTATATTATATAATTATAAATGGAAATACTTTCATATATTTGAAGGTTTGACGGTAATAAATAAAAAAAAATGTAATTTTTTTGGCAAAAAATATGAACACGATGAGATAATAATAATAAACAATAGTGAAATCTGACTGGAATCAGAAACATTTTCAAATTGATCTCATTTACTGACTATTCTTGAGTAATTAAACATGTGTAAATCGAACTTCGCCCTTGTCTGGACTAAATTTACATTCATATAGGGGTTTGATTTGGGACAGCTTTCACTGCATATATGACCAGAAGGGGTTTAATAGAATGAAATCCACAATATGGTAATTCGTTTCATTTAACATTAATCCCATTCCCTCCTCAATTGGTAATTATTTCCGATTTACATTCAATAGATGATAGAAGTGCCATTAATATGCAAAAAAGACTGTCCCAAGTATGATTGTAATCAAGATAAAGACAAAACAAACATAAATTGTCTCTTTTAGTATTATGCCAGTCTATCAATTAAAAAAATAGAGCAGACATTCTATTTTAGCTATTTGGTTGTTTTTTTGGAAAAGTATCACATGTCCTTATGTTTATGCTACTCGAAAAAAAATCATGATCATAAAGTCGTCGACTTGATGGTCCGTCCGTCTGTCCGTGGGTCTGAAACAACTGCTTTCCGGAAGAAGTCTTGAATTTCTCTTTCTTGATTCAAACAAAACTTATACCAATGGAATATATAGGGAAGGGAAAAAAAACTATTTTTTTAAGGTTCAATAGGTCAAAGATTAAGGTAGCCGTTACCAAAAATTAGAAAAATGAAAATAAACACATGGTTTCCTGATGACATCTTGGGCTTTCCTTGCTTGTTTAAAATACATCTTATACCAATTGAAGATTTGAGTAAGAGGGGAAATCGAGTAGATTTTAGAAACAATAGATTCATTCGTGATCGTTGTTACTTAAAATACCAAATAAAAAAAAAATGAACAAATGCTTTCGGGATGAAAATTATTAGTTTGGAGATCAAAAATTGGTCGTGCCAACTTTCTACTTGTTATAATTGATTGCATTTCGTTTATTCAACGTCCAGTGACAAAAACAAATTATAAGTTTATAGCATGTCCTTAAAATGTTAATGACGAATGAACAAATCCCTAATTATACCAACCGACAGTCTAAGTCAGATTTTCGTGCTTAGTACTTAAAATGGATCAAGAGTCAGGACACATTAATCCTAGCCGGCCAGTCTTCTAATTTACTATTATTCTTAAATCTGCGTGTTTTATAACGGACACAGCAGACACGAATTTTAAAGTTTCAAGTTTAATCCAGACGGGGGTTTGAACTCGTATATTATCGCATTCATAGTGAGCACGCTACCCCCAGACGACCAAAGTGGTTTATTCATTTATAGATAATACAGGTAATATAAAAAGCCAAAAAAGCACTTTAAATTTGATAAACTTTGACAAATCTAAATGCTTAGATTAAGAAATGTAACACTTACAATATCGTATGTAATACTTCCCAACCAGGCGAGGCTTCTAATTGAAAATAACAGTGTGTTGCATTAAAGTAGCATGCATTAGTTGCTCCATTATAGCTAGCAGCACAACATTGTGTCTTCTGACATTGAAGAGCACATTCCAACTTTGAAGTGGTAATGTATGTTGGACTTGATATAGACGGAAATTTTGTATCCTTCTTTATCAAGAAGTTCCCAACATTTTCGGCCACACTGTAAAATAAATACTCCAATAAAAGTTGAAAATAAATAACATAAAAATTCATGATTTTCTCTGTTCGTATTTTTAAGCAAAATTCCACAAATGGTTGACAACACGAGGAAACATTGGAAGCAAACTTTTCAATGTATAAATTATTGATAATAAATAAAACAAGTGTATTCAAAATCATTCATTTAAACACAGAACAACTGTTTTCAATCTAAATGGCGATCGACCACGTGGCTTAATAGTTGTTCATGTCGATGCCAGGAAATGAAGTAGACACTATCTAGTAGATTGTGGCTAAGTACAATTCAATATAACATAAAGAGGTTGAAGTATGGTGCAATATATGAACAGTTTTTCTTCGCTCTATAGCCATTCATTTTGACCCAAACGTTTTATAAATATATAGAGCGTTTGAAAGCATGAATTTGTTTTAAAAACATTGAGTACTTTGAGTTTCACTACGATAACTTCTATTTTCTTATATGGTTCTGTATAATTATATTAAATCTATTGTTTATAGTTTTGATTTTTGTTTTTTGTTTTTTGTATGCTGTTCAATGAACTTATTTTATTGAATTTGAAAGTGCTGCTGAACTTAGATTGTGTTGTGAGACTCTAATTATATCTTATTTGTTTCTCACTGATCGAGATAAAACAAAAATAATAATATTGGGATTGAAGCAATTACTAAACGTTTATAGCTTTTCATGTTGACCGAAACTTCTTATCAATACAGGAGCGTTTGAAAGCATGAATTCGTAATTAAAACATAGAGGCCTTTGAGCTTCACTACGATAACTTCAAGATTTCTTATATGATCTGTATAATCATATTAAATCTATTCTGTATAGTTTTAGTTTTAGTTTTTGTATTCTTTTCAATGAACTAATCTGATTAAATTAAGTGCTGTCATTCTTAGATTTTGTTGTGAGACTCTAATTGTATCTTATTTATTTCTCACTGATCGAGGTAAAAAAAAACGTTTGGGGTGAAACATTCACTAAACTAGTTGAACTCTTTCCTGTAGCTATTAGGGAAACTCTTTGCTATTTCTTTGTGTATTTCCGACTCCAACGATTAACAATTTGCCTTACGATTTACTTTAAGCGTTAACTTTTATATTTGATTGCTGTTTCTACCACATTTACCGAGTCGTTAGGTTGAACATTAGGCAAAACAACTATAACATTTTAGAAAAAGTAATTTTTGACATACGAGGAACACAGATAGGTGTTTCAGTCTGCTTTATCAAAAGAGGGGTTGCTATTTTGGATAGGTGTTTCAGTCTGCTTTATCTGAAGAGGGGTTGCTATTTTGGATCGGTTTTTCAGCCTACTTTATAAAAAGAGGGGGTTGCTATTTTGGATAGGTTTCCAGGCAAATCTACAAACAAATTGAAAATATAGGAGAACATGAAATTCAAATGAGTTGCACCATGCTATATCACAAGTTAAAACTTGCCAATATGAAAGGAAACTATGGCTAGTCCAACAGAATGTTAGGAGAAGGTATGATAAAGTTACTTTCTTTTTCCCCGTGAATTCGAAAATCATAATGTATTATTAAATTAATCTGCCAAAAAACATCCAGCAGTTCATGGTAAGACATTATTCTGTCAGATATCAGTACTTATATAAATGAAAACATTGGCATTTGGGCTTCAAACTTCTTACATTAAGTGTAAAACAACAAAAACTTGAAAATAGCCTCATTTTGAGATCTTGTCATTAATATGTAGTTTACACAAAAAGATATTTTGCTACAAGATGTATTTAACAAAGATGCTAATATGTTTAAAGCATCTTTTTTGGTAATGATCTTGCTCAAATATATATATTGACCAAAACGTATGCGTGAAATTGCCATTTAAGGTTAAAAAGGAAATTTCGAAATGTTTAGAACGTAATAGTGGCATTATAAGTTATCTTTCTGTCTGAAGTTTTCAGATTTAAGCAATTGCTTCATATATCAATAAAATTAACAAAATTTTGAGAGCTGGAATAAGTTTACCATGTTTACTATGTTTGAAAATTGATGGCCAAATAATGGCTGTTATCGTACCTCGTACTTTCTATTTTTTTGTTGGCACATACTTAGAATTTAAAAAAAAAATACTTCCAAATACGAACGTCTTATTTTCATTTTAGCAGTGCGGTTTTTTTAAGAGGTAGTCGATAAATCTAATTCGATGAAAACATAGGGTGTTGATATTAGCACCTCGTAAGTGTCCCAAAATTGGTCACAGCTTGTAATGTATTTGCATTACCAGAATGTAACATTCCTTCAATTGTAATTATTATTTAGAAGGTGATTGATTTTAACGAACTTATTTTCGGTACAATAAGTCTGGCAGGACAAAATAAATATGTATTAAGTTAAATGATTAAAACATCATTATGAAATTTTAAACAAGTGATAAAAAAACCATTAATAAGAAGATGTATTGCTTAGAAAGAGTGCAAAACAATACACTGTATAATAGATGAAAATAATACAGCAATATTCAGTTAATATGACGTTGTTTTCTGAGATTCTTTTCTATAGCTATAGCCTTTACGTTCAATAATTTTAAAGCCTCAATTGATTTTGGTTAATTGTGATCATTTTATAAAACACAAAATACCACTTACTGATTCAGTTAAGTGTCAATTATTGCGTAAGAATCGAATCAACTCAATACAATTGTATAAGTTGTAAAATTCTTATATAATCTGAATAGATTCTCATGTTGTCTTTTTCCTTTTCATAGCGCTCTGCTCTTGGTAATTGGAGATTTATCGTGCAATCTTTTCACCCTGCATTCAGCCGTTGTATAAACATGTACGTCCATACGTAATATATTCACTTTTTATTATATTCATTTTAGGATTGTTGCTCGCATAATCTTTGTTTTTCTTTGTATCTAAGCAATCCTTATTGTGATAGCATGGCGGATGGAATTTCCATCAAATCTAAAAAATAAAACAAAAAAGGTGACCATCAAATTAATTTTTTTTCTCCTTTTCTCTGGTAGGTATTCAAGATAAAAATGCTAGGCTTAAAATTGTATCGGATATTAGTTATATTTTGTACTTTAAATGAAAGAAATGTAGAAACGCGACAAGCTAATACTAGTATTGTTCAAACTGTCAAACCATTCAATCGATACATGCATTTTTGCATCCATAGCAGTTTATGAGAATGTCTGAATATCATAATGAAAGGGTTATATAACGTGGAGATTTCAGATGAAAAGCACGTTATTTAGCTATAAAATTATAGATTAATTGATTGATTGTTGCTTGCATTACGTCTATTGGCAAGTATTTCATGCATAATGACGAGGACATATTAACATTTGATATAACATGTAGATTCTGCAAAGTAAGTCGACCTTGATGACTAGTGGCAAATTTTGTCTGCACTAAAAATGAGGGCGTGTCGGATAGGGGTTGATTTTCTGCCTTGCAAACGCCACCTACAAACCCCTCAAATTGTTGTTACAATGGTTTGTTTTTGCGCAAAAAGAGTCACAATCGTACTACACGAGGCATCGTGTTGAACGTCCCTTTTACTCTAACGTGGCTGTGCGTAGCCAAACGGCGCCCAACTTTATCAAGGGCTTTACAGCTGACTGGGAAAAGTCCAGGGATAATTATATTTCTATTCCCCGTCACTGCATTGGGTGTAAAAAAAAAGCGTAAATATTTAGATTAATTAATTAACTTATAAACTAGGTCGTTAGTTTCCTCGTTTGAATTGTTTTACATTTCTTTTTCATGTCGGGTCCTTTTATACCTGACAATACAGTATGGGTTTTTTTTCTCATTGTTGAAGGCCTACGGTAACCTATAATTGATTGCATCCACGTCATGTTGACGCTTGTTGATAATTGTTTCCGTGGCAATCATGCCACAACCTTTTTATATTATATGTATAATCATGTAAAAATCTTAACAAGAATGTATTCTTAGTAAAAAGAGGCGTAAGATACCAAAGGGAGAATCAAAACTTCATGAAACGAAGAGAGACCGACAATATCATGACATAAAAAAACGAAAAACGAATGAAACACAAACAAACAAAAAGCCGGGGTAATAACAGGTGCTACATGTATATGATATCGAAAGGTAAGCAAATTGGATCCACGTGTGTTGTACCCGTCGTTTTACTCATGGTAAGTACAAATTCGGTGTTGAGTTCACACTCGAGGAACAAAAAAATAGGAAGTCGTAGATACAATGTATAATATCTAACAACTGTTTCATATCACACAAAAAAAAATCGAAGTATTGCATCTGCATTAAAATTTGTGACACTTTATTATATATAATTTCATTTTCATAAACATAACGCAGTATTGTTGGATAGCAAAATTTATTTTAAAACGCAATCTATAGGTATACTGTGTCTGTGTTATTTGTCAATAGGAAATTCCATATATATCTTATTATAGTGACGCAACACTAAATTATTCTTTTTAATTTTAATTTTCAAATACCCAATACTTGTAAAATGAATACATAACCATTAATTTCATTCATTACTACACCGTCTAAATAGCATTTGCAATTCGAAAGTTGATTTGATGACGTCACGTTTAATGTTCAAATCATGTGGTATTTACTGAAACCCTGGTTTTCTCTATATTAATTGTTTTGTCAACGTCAAATGCAATGACTGATGTTACCAACGCCTACATGATTGACAGAAAAGCCAACAATTTCTGTTGAGCATGTTTTGAGTTTTGTTTTATTCCTTCTGATTTCTGCTCTTTCTAACCGATTATAGTCTGTTTAGCGGTTTAAACTGTATATGCTTTAAAATGATTATGCAATCGATTCTATAGCTTTTCAGTATATGGGAATCATTTATAATATGAATCTGTCGTTCATGACATTCGACAGCTTGGTTAGCAGTTGACGTTGCAGCCGTAAATCTGTTTTTGCAAATGGCGTAATGAAATCTTATTGACGTTGCGTTGTAACTACAATTTATTCTGGTCATTAGCAAATTCCGTCGGCCTGTACTTTAGTTGTAAGGACAGTAAGAGGACTTTTGACATGAAATTGTCTAGTAACAGCATAACGGTCAACCAACTCGTGATGGCGTCCGTAAAATTTACGAAGGGATGCTTTCACTTGGAACTCTTGGTTTAATAGCTTCCTTGTCAGCAGCAGTCCTCTATCAAGGAAATCATGATAGGAAATACAAGCCCTGGAATATCGTATCAACTAGGAGTTATATACTCCGTATGTAGGCGCTACTGGAATGTTGCTACATAAAAATGGAAGTTTACAATTGGGAAGCTGAAATCATCTCTTTTGCCGTAAAGTTTTGTTTTCAAACGACCCTAATTGTCAATTTCTAGATGTAAGTCAAGTTTCTAAAAAAATCAAAGTTTATAATTTGGTGCGCTGATTCCTCAACAATTGGTTTCTTTTTTGTTGTGATGACCACCGAATGTTGTATTTCAGAATTACTTCTAGGTTTAATATGAACTACTGGATGTGTACCTGTACTTCCACTAATAAGTGTGTCGTTGATTTCAATTATTGGACTTGTTTACCTCTTCTCTGTCATTTTTCTCTGACCAATTGTTTCTATCTGATGGTTCCACATAGACTGTGATTCACATCTATGGACGACCTAGTTTTGTTTTCAATTCATCGAGATGTTATGGTTTGGTGAGTATTTTCGGTATATTTCCTGTAGAATTATTACATCAATAGTGTATACCCATCATATACAGACGAAGTCAATGTCGGGATTAGTTAGACTGTTCATGTTATTGTTAAGATGTAGTTCTGTTGTATATTCAACGTTTTTTCCATGTCTTGTAATACTAATATTGCTGCTGCTAAGGACAAATGTAATATACAAAATGAATAAAAAGATAATGCTTTTACTCGATAAACCTGATTTAAATATAAAAGGAAAAATAGTTAAGCAATGGAAATTGGTCTTCACAAGTATAGTGTTATTACAAACAAAAACAATAAAATAGGTGACAGCAAATCTCAATATCATTAATTAGCTGACCTTCAAATGAAGAAGATACACTTTTTAAATATTGAAAGAAATGGTGTACATGTATTTTGTTTTTCATTTATAATAGTTTGTTTATATTTACTTGACAAATTCGTAATGCCTGCGTTTAACACCCACCTGTAATTAATTGTGTTGTTTATTTTAAACCTAGCCCATAACCCGACATTTCGTTGTACACCTCATATAACCTCGTGAAAACACTGATATGTTTTGTTCTGATTTCAGTAGTAGGCGAATGTGACAAATTTTTACTAGTTATTTGTTTCGTTCTCCCAACCTTGATTTTTAAAGGTAAGATCATATTTCCTCATGGTTTTTTATTTACTTTTTTGTTATAATTTCAGTATTCAAATTTTTTGACGTTCATGCGTTTTACGAATATGTGTTTTCCTGTTCTTCTAATTCGTGATTTGGAAGTGATTTTTTTCAATGGTGTTGCTTTCTTGTAAATGATGCCAAATATTCATAAAAAAACGGTATTTGCAACATATTGACAAGTCAAGTATGGTACAGGCCTATCAGGTAAAATATCCCCAACACCTATGATACCAGAGGTATGATTTTGATACATACGTGAAATCGTTTGACACTAAAGGCTGTAACTTACCAGTGCCTATATTTCCATTGAAATAAATGACAAAAACATTTATATTTCGTGTCATTTGCGTTAGTTCATCCTGATTTGGTTTAATAGATAACACGAGTTTTAGTCCATTCGACAGATTGAATAGCTTTAAAATAAAACTGAGGAACAAAACAAGTGAGAGAAACAAATGATTGAGGTTTTAAGACCATTTAGAGAAAAGCAACGATATTCAAAGCTCTAAACATGAACAAGAGCCGATTTTTTTAAGTGAATTTCAGAGATACCAATGTAGTGTCCTGATCCTTGGTATGTCTCCCCTAATATCCTGCAGAGATGCTTTAAATCAAATAATTGACATCTAAATTGTTTGATTATCGATATGTTTTGGAACTTATAATACATTTTAAATGAAATATTGAGAAAATATTCATTAATACGTCGTATTTATTTTATTTGTGTTGTTCTTCTTCTGTCTTTATTGTATCTTATTGGTAATCATACCACACCTCCTTTAATTTTATAAGAATCACAGATGCAAATTAACAATATACACACATTATCGAAGCCTCTTGGCTGCTGTTCACCTTCAGTAAAAATCATAAAGGGGGAGGTTAAACATAGTTCATGGACCGAAGTCTGCCATTCATAATGACTAATGGGTCCAAAACTCAACGAACGAGTTAATAAAAATGAATATTGTTTTAAGGTAAATATGTTCATATAAATAAAGTTCAGTAGACTGTATAGTACTGGTATTAGTCTTGATCATCTATAGTTTATGTCCATTGTCCAGGATTACAGGCAGGGTGGTTGAAACTGAAATATAAACAGAACAATACAAATTATTAATTTAAAGTAAAACCCCGTTTTGAGAGACTTTTTTTAAAATTGTTTTGATGTTGTATTAATGGAAAGAAAGGCAGTCCTACCTATTCAGTATTAACATCTTGACTTTAATTTGTACCTTTTCAGAAGAATAGAGTCGCATTTGTTTTAAATCAATGCATTAGTTTTCTTGTTAAAAAGATTCGTAGGATGATTGTTTTATACTATTGAAATTATTTCTGTTGATCTATTTTAAAAGAATATTCCTATATGAAATGTATTACATATATTTAAAGATATCTGTGATGGGTTCTTCTGAAGTAAACCATCTATATCATGTTCACTTAAATACTGCTGCATTACATACCCCAGGTTTCTCAATAAATCACAGTTTATAATTGGTTGTGCTGATTTCTCAACAATACGTGTCTTTTCTGTTGTGATGACCACCGAATGCTGTATTTCAGAGGTACTTCTAGCTTTAATGTGTACTGCTGGAAATGTATTTGTACTTTCACTAATATCTGTTTCGTTGATTTCAATTATTGGACTTGTATACCACGTCTCTGTCATTGTTATCTGACTGGTTGATTCTATCTGAAGGGTCCATGTAGACTGTGGAATCACATCTATGTACGGCCTAGTTTTGTTTTCAATCAATCGAGATGTTAAGGTTTGGTAAGTATTTGCTGGTATATTTTCTGTAGAATGTACTGCATTTGAAACCATACTCGTCATCAATGGTTTATTCCCATCGTATAAGGACGAAGTCATTGTCGGCATTAGATTGTTCATATTATTGTTGAGATGCAGATCTGTGGTATATCCCGGATTTCTTCCTTGTTTATTAATACTACTATTTTTGCTGCTCAGGAGGAGCAGTGTTTCGGATTTTGTAACACAAATAATGAACAGGAGGAATGAAGGAATCATCTTCTATCTTGATGAACCTGATATAAATACAAATAGAAAATATAAAAGCACTGGGAATAGTTCTTATATATATATATATATATATATTAATCTAGAATAAAACAGGTGGCAGCAAGTCTTAATAATATTAATTAACTAACCTTCAAATAAAGAAGAGAGTATTTTCAAACATTGAGAGAAAGGGTGTACATTTATTTGTTTTTCATGTATAATTTGTTTATACTTACGTGATAAATTCTTTTACATTCGTTTAACACTGACCTGTAATTAATTGTGTTGTTTATTTAATACATAGCCCACTATCCCACATTTCATATTTTGAACATGATATAACTTTGTGGAAACATTGACAAGGAACATTTTCTGTGATTTCTGCAGCTACATTTTGTGGTTAATTCTTATTTCTTTGTATAGTTCTCCCGCATATTCATATTTTCCGAATTATTTTTCTTCTTTTTTTTGTTACCTTTTCACGATCTTGATGTTTATACCTATTGTTTGTTTTACAATTTTGTGTTTTCTTGTCCTTGCAGTTCGTGCCTTGGAAATATTTTTTTTTCAAATGCTACTTGTGCAAACGATTATTGACCTTGTTGTTAATACATCCCATTGCCAAATATTTCAAACAAAAATCAAAAAGAAACAGCATTGATGAATATGCTCCACAGCTACATATATGATACCCAAGGTAAATATATAAAAGTGACTCAAATCTATCATTTCGGGTAATCTAATTTTGTTATAGTTTTATAGGACCATTTGTACAGTTGTGTATTTTGAAACTTACCTGAAACTAGACTGCTACGTGATGACATGAACACTGCAACCAACCACTATGTGCCATTTCTGTTCACGTATAAAACAGAAATGATGACTATTCTTCACGTCGGAGTGGTATGTTTGAGATGTCAGACTAGATAATAACCAGGTTTAAGTATAATGATACAACCTTAAAGCTCAAATCACCTGCTTTTTCGAAGATTCCAATGTACATTAGGGTAGGTAGGTCTACACGAGATTTAAAAAAAAAATAACCAAGAAATAGTAGTCTAAGTGCTGACTTGGATGTAAAGAGATGGTCACCTGGAATTCTCCCTTTCCGGCTGTAAAACCCCTGCTAAATTGGGGCGGCCTTTTGATTGTGTGGATCTATAAATACATAGCCACGTCAGGCCGGAATAAGGATGTTAAATCCGATGCATTGTGAAGGATGAGTGTCACGTTCTCTGCACATTAAAAGACCCTTGCAACAACTCTTGAAGTGTCCTTAAGGCACCTGTTACAAGACTAACTTTATGCCTCCAACAAATCGGTTTTTAATTCCGGTCGGCCTACGATGCTGAACCCCCTAATGTATTTATTGTTATTGGTTTCTCGTACTGAATATGCAGGATATAATTGCCACTGGATGTTTGCGAAGCAACAATCAATCAAAACATTTTATATTACTGTATATGAAATTTCCTTTTATACGACTGTATATGAAATTTCCATGTGTTTCAATACGGAAGCATGATAGTGATCTAAATGACAATACGTATATTTCTTACCGTGTTACCGGAAAACATAAATTTTATGCATTCAGACCATCCATCGGCTTTGAAATGAATTTTTTGGCATTGAAAACTGACTTCGAAAATTAACATGACAATACAAATCAGATAATTAATCAAGAGAATTTCTGAAATAAATATAGTGAATGCAAGATTTAGGAACGGAAAAAGAAATGAAGAGTTAATGATATTAAAATAAAAAGAACAAATAACCATCCTATGATTAAATATTAAATACATAAATTCTCTTGCTACTATATATTATGGATTTTTAACTTCAACCTAACCGGAAGTTTTAATAATCGGTAATGGTCAATTAAAAAGAACACGAAGGAAAAAAAGATTGAATTTTTGAGGCAATAGAAGAGTTTCAAAATGTATGTCCACTATAACATGATCGTAGGTTAAACAATCGAGTTCATTTGTAAGAAGATTGTTTAATCCTAATAGTATGAAGAAACAAGTTTTGTTGCTTTGTCCTTTGTGGATTTCTGCTCCGTTCATTATATAAAGTTTCTATTATAATTTTTTGGTGAAAAGAAAATATAGTAAAGGTACATAAAACAATGTAAAATCGATTGTCCCTTTAATATGCTTTTTTTAGAAATGAGGTTATTAAATATCAAAAAGGAAAATAAAGAAAATTTATTTTGCGAAAGATGCATTAAAATAGAGCGAGACAACCCTACAACAAAAATCCGAAACATAAATAAAAGAGTAAACGATTAGAACAAAGAAAGCAAGTTCTTTTAGAAGGTTCAGTGAAATGTGGGGTTAACCGGGTTTAAAGATTTCTAACATTCTAAGGTCTAGACTAATCTCATAGTTAGATGTGAAAAGTAATGATTGAATGAGTTTCATGTGAATAATCTTTCAACAGCTTTCTAGACAAGGATATGTTCACTGATGATGTTAACATGGAACTATGTTGTACAATATCGAAACCCGGAATTTTAAGGATCTAGCTCACACGATTTAAGTTCACACGAAAAACCTTTCAATCTTCATTGTTTAATGCATGTTATTGAAAGACCATTTAACCAGTTGTGTTCATCCAGTTGAGTGTGTAATTGTTTGAGTGCATATGTTTTGGTTTGATAAACAGACACAAATAATTCAAGGAATAATAGTCTAAAGTATATCAATTTAACAGTAAAAACCGAAACACATCTATTAAACGAAAGTCTCAATTTCATAAGGAATGATATCTATGCAATCAAACCGATTGATGATATTTTTACAACACATCAATCTATTACATCTGAAAATTTATTATTTTATACATATTCCAGAACCAAAGACGAAAAACAACAATACACGTGTAAAAATAGCAATACAAAAAAAAAAACAACTATCATCCATTCTTCGCATCTAAATATGGTGTTAGTTGCGTTAGTTCCATCTTGATTTAGTTTAATAAATAACACGACTTATCGTCCTTTAGACAGACAGAATAACAAGTGGGAGAAACAAAATTATCGAGGTTTAAAGTTCAATTCGGAAAAACAACCACGTGTAAGAATGGAAAGAGAATCAAGATCCGATTTGTTAAGCAAAAATTCAGAATTACCAATGGAACTTCCTTTCGTTCGAGCACCCAGTGGTGACCGGGGAATAGAAATATGGTCACTTTGGTCTTCTTCCGACCAGCAGTAAAATCTTGCCTAAGTGTTGCGTCCGTTTGGCTGTACAGGATGTACAAGTACGCAGCCACATACGGTGACGAAGAACATGTAAATTTACCCGAATTTAAAACAAAAACTTATAGTAAATTTTCGGAAATCAAAATAAATACACAAGAAATCATAGATATTATCCAGATATTAGATCCAAACAAGGCATCAGGCCCAGATGTGATCAGCCATAAAATGCTTAAGTTATGTCCGGAAAAGGTTGCAGTTCCGCTAAACATTATATTCAATAAATCTTTAAGAGAAGGCAAATATCCAACCAGTTGGAAGATAGCTAATTTAATACCTATTTTCAAAAAGGGGGATTCATCCTTGCCTTCAAATTACAGACCAATTTCTCTTATTAGTTGTGTTAGAAAAGTAATGGAAAGAGTTGTTTTAAGCACTTGTATAATCATCTACACGCTTACAAATTAATTTATGAATATCAATCCGGATTTCTTCCCCAAAATTCAACTGTTCATCAACTTTTAGAAATATACAACTGCATCTTAAACTCTTTGGAAAAAACAGAAATAAACTGTTTTGTATTCTGTGATTTCTCTAAAGCGTTTGACAAAGTTTGGCATAGAGGTCTTATTCACAAACTGAAAGCCTATGGTATTGATGGAACCTTATTACAGTGGTTTGAAGATTATCTGCATGACAGGAAACAAAGAGTAGTACTGAATAATTCGTCCTCCTCCTTTTGTAATGTGTCAGCAGGTGTACCCCCAGGGATCTGTTTTGGGCCCTCTTCTCTTTGTTTTATATATTAATGATATTGCTGATACGCTTACATCGCTGTGTAGGCTATTTGCAGACGACACTTCATTCAGTTATTCCGGTAGCGATGGTGAACAGATTAAATCTGTGATCGACCGCGACCTGAAAGAGCTGGATGTTTGGTCAACTAAATGGCTTATGTCATTTAATCCTGATAAAACAGAAATTATGATATTTTCAAATATTGAGATACCAGATCTCAACTTTTCCCTAAATGATAAAACTATCCCTATAAATACATCGCATAAGCACCTGGGAGTTACCTTTAGTTGTGACGCAAAATGGAACAATCATATTGAAAGTATAATTACAAGTGTAAAGAAACACCTTAATGTTCTGCGTAAACTTAAATATCGACTGTCTCGTAATAATTTAGAAAAACTTTATCTAGTTTTTATTAGACCCATTTTTGAATATGCTACGGAAGTGTGGGATAATTGTGGGATATGTTATTCAAATAAATTAGAAAAATTTGCAATTGGAAGCCGCAAGAATTGTAACAGGTCTACCAATCTTCACTAAAACTGATACTCTGTACTCTGAGGTTGGCTGGGAATCTTTATATGAAAGACGAAGAAGGAGAAAATTACAGATGTTTTATAATACAAATAAAAAACATGCACCTCAGTACCTGTGTAATCTTGTCCCCCCATGTATACAAAGTACAACCAACTATCCGTTGCGAAACGGTCAAAATATCATTGTTCCATTTTGTAGACTTTCCCTTACCACTGAATCTTTTATTCCATCCACAATACGAGAATGGAATAAGCTTGACTTAAAAATTCGAAACACCGACTCTATATCTAAATTTAAGAGAGAATTGAAAAATGAAAGTGTTCAGAGTAGAGTTGCGCCGTATTATATGTACGGTCCGAGGAAACTGAATATTATTTTAACTCAATTGCGATGTTCCGCTTCATTTTTGAACTCTGACCTTTTCAAAGCTAACATTATACTGGATCCTTCGTGTCAGTGTGGGTCTGATATTGAGGATGTTCATCATTTTCTTTTAGTTTGCCCAAAATACACTACATGTAGAGAAATTTTACTTAACAATCTTAATTGGCTTACTGAAAACTTTATTATTGATACTAAACTATTAACTTGCGGAGATCTTGAACTTTCGAATGAACAAAATCTCCTAATTTTCAAACATGTTCAAGATTTTATTAAAATGTCTAACAGATTTCTAGTACCTTCATAAAATATTATTGCTACCGGCACGGATGATAATCACCATCAAACCTAAGTCAACATCACAGAAAATATAATTTGCTTCTTTTCTTTTCCTCCTTTTCCATTCTTCTTGTTCTTTTTTTCTTTTTATTTATAGTTCGTATAATATTTAATGAATTTGTTAGCTTTACATGCATGCTCATAATGTTATTATTGTATATATACTTGTATTGTAATATGGAGAAGACTTCATAAGTATGATTTACTTGTGTCTCATCCATTTTGCTGATATTTAGCAAATAAAATATGTTTAAACTAAACATACGGTTAGAATGGGGACGTTAAATCTGATACCTCGTGTAAAGAGTTCATGCTCTTTCCATGTTGAGAGAGAACCCTTGCAACGTTTCTTTGAGGGGTCCGTATGTGACCTTTTGCAAGGTAACATTTCTGTCTCTATCCAATATACCCTCATTTCCCAGTGGCTGACCTAATTTCCCCAACCTTCATCCCGGACGGCCTCTATTACAGGGAATGCATATTATATGTATTGTTAATTTCTGTTCTCAACATGAACATGCATAAACTAATTGCCACTGCACGTTAAGCAACCAACAATCAATCATCCTTTCCTCCGTCCACATTTTGTGTGTTGTTCTTCTCTCCTCTTTGATACGGTAATACTAATAAATTTGTGAATGTAATGCATTGCAAAATGTATTATACATTTAAAAACTTAGAATTCTCAAACAATTTATTCTACTCATACTTCTAATATATTTGTGTACACCAAACGTCTATGGTTGTATCAAAGAATAAACAATTCAAGTGACAACTTTTAATGATTAAATTGCTTGGTATTATAAAATAAGGCTTTTCTGGGAAGTAATACTTCTTGTACTGAAATAACTCCAACCCCCTTACCAAAAAAAAATGTGAAAAATAGTTGCTTACATCCTCGTCATTTGGACTCTTGTGGATACATGTAGTTATCTCATTGACAATCATACTATTTCTCCTTATTTTATAAAATCTACGCAAGCCTAAAAAAAAAAACCATTCCAATGTGACGTGCTTCTTACGCTTTGTAAACAACACCGTGATAAAATTCTCGATATATCTATACTTAGCGCAGACTCAGAGATATACATAATAATGGCTGTTATAATATACCTCCCACGTAAATCCACATGTATCGTAACCTATTTGCAAACGCAATACCGATTTTGTTGTGTTAAAAATTGTGATTGAAAAAAAGACTACAGAACCTTTATTCTTATTATGATGCATAATAAAAAGAATTAATACATTAGAGCTCGGAGAAATGTACAAAATCAAAATCAAATAAAATTCCGCGAAAATCCATTAATGCTTTTGGCGCATTAAAGTCATTACAAAACATGACGTCGTACAAATGAAAACGCTAAAGCTGAAGGTTTCCCGTTACGTGAACCATCGAAATTCGGATAGTATTGCATTGAAATGAAGTTTTGAGGCAGGTGTTGTTTTATTTTCTACTCTATTGCATTATTCCCACATCTACTGTTTTCAGCAAGTCAACATGGTGGCTCCTTAGTGACGAAATGTCAACTGTTGATTTGACGGTAGCTTACGACAAAATAATTCATGGAAGCCTTAGATTTGTTGGAAATTCACACATGACCTGGGCCGTGATATTCGAATTTTATCCTGAGCGTTAAAATTAACGAATATCACGGCCCAGGCCATGTGTAAATTTCGAACAAATCTATGGCTTCCATGAATTATTTCTTAAATATACACAAATCATCGAAATCCTTTGACTGCTGATTACCTAGAGTAATATTCATAAAGGGGAGGTTAAGCATGGGTCATGAGCCGATGTCTACCTTTAATACTGACTTATGGATCCAAGACTCAACGAACGAAACGTTATTCAAACGATTTTTGGCGTGTTTGGAATCGTGTATTTTAGTCTTTCATTACAAGTGAATTTTTTTTTCTTCACTACACAAATAAAAGTTATATCAAGCCTCTTCTTTTTACACTCCTGTCAGAAGATTATGGGACACAAGTATTATTTAAAGTTCGATCCAGTCAAAAACAGATAATAATAATAAGTAAGCTTTATTTAGAGTCGTCATAGTATAAAAACAAGGACATAACATAAGGTCTATTGAGCTTTTAACCGACATTAAAATGCATAACAATACAATACATAATTAGCATACAATAAATTACATAACACAAAAATGAAGCCCTATAATTAAGCATGGTAGTAATAAGCAGATTATAAGCATGATAAGCTAGGTATTAAAGCTAAAAGCATATCAAGATGTTAACGAAGCATGATGAGAAAGCTGGTAAAATGCATTGCATAAAATATTAAAATATAGGATATGATCTAAATGGTAAAAATTTAACATAATGTATAATTAATAAATAATCTGCATAAACTGTGCACTAACAGTCATTTACATTCCATGGCTTTAAAATATTATTAAACTGACTGAAATTAGCATTTTTTCTAAAATCATCACGTAGATCATTCCATAAAACAGCAGCTGTATATTTAAAAGAGTTCTTACCATAGGTTGATGTTCAAACTCTATGTATATCTACAATATTAGAATATCTAAAACTATATTTACACATCTTTCAGTACAACTAAATCATGTAAACATGGTGGTGACAATTTATATAAAATTTAAAAAAATTCAATAGCCATGTTACGCATTTGTCTAATTTTCAGTGATGGAACCTTTGATCGTACAAACAATTCATCATACGAACTAACATAGTTTTGTTATATAAATCGTGAAGCCCTTTCCAGAATATTTTGTAATTTAGTGGTATTATTTTTGTTGCAAAAATGCCATGCCAAAGGAAAAAAAATAAAATTAGATAAAATAAATGTGTGAAAAATGGTCAATTTATTGAATTTAGTAAGATAGCAACCAATGCTCTTTAAAACATTCAGTTGTTGAGATGCTTTACGACAAATATTTTAATGTAGTGATTAAAACTAAGTTGATAAGGGAGCAACCATTTAACTTCAAGGGGGGGGTATGGTTTTTTGTCTGAGTCAGAATTTTTTTTCGCGCAAAGCACTATAAGGTATGGGGAAAATCTGGATTCAGAATATTTGTTTTGGTCATCTGCTTGACCGCAATATTTTTTGGGGATCAGAATATTTTTTTAGAAAAAAACCATAACCTCCCCCCATCCCAATTGAAGTTAAATGGTCGTTCCCTAATCAATATCAATACCTAAAAACCAGACAATCTCATCGCATGATATTTTAGCTGACTGTATATTAAAAACAGGCTTCTTTGCAAATGTTTTATTTCCAACTGCAATGGCTAGGAATTTATCATACAATGATTTCAATTTTACCATTTCTGTGTTGCAGCATTCCAGCAGCACCTGCAGATGGAGTATATATGCCAGCCTTGACTAAGGGTTGTTGCTGCTTACAAGGAACCAATGGTTTTGAACGGTAAAGTTGATGCATCCATTCGACAGTTTAAAGGACGCCATCATGATTTGTTTGACCGTATGGAATATCTGTGTCAAATATGACCACGGATATGTTTCACTTTTTATGGCAACAGGCTCGGTTTCCTTTCCTCGATGATTACATCACCATTTTTTTAATAATAGATGCCAATAGTAGAGCCAAGTCTTGTTTTAAATGGGTTGGAGTTTTTTTTGTTGCTTTTGTTGTTGTATTGTGTACTATTATATTTTTCCGTGTTTGCGTTGTTTTTACCGGTAATAGTCATGTCTATCCTTGATTCAGGAAAACATTTTTCTCATTCTAACCTGTTATATTGAGTAAAGTTTAATGTTTAGAGAATTTACAGTATCGATTGAAGTATACATTGGTGATGTCGTGGGGGTAAGATAAGAGACATTGGCCATACCTTTATTGTGTTATTCCACTAATCGATGGATTTGAACAGGAGTAGCATCACGTCAACGAGACTACAATTCAACAATAGAAGATGACTAAATTTAACGCAGTCATTATGAAGTTACCATAGTTACGATGTGACTTTTGTCTAATGTTGCACTATCGGTCTTCTTAATATGGAAAATTTATGCAAAAGTGTATTCTCCTCAATGCCGCTTTAAATTTCATTTGTTTCATCTATGCTTTTATTGTCTGTGTTTTGTCTTTAAACGTTTGATCGTGATCAGTTAAAATTTAGTATACGCCCGTCGAAGACGAAACGTATTATAATATACCTATGTCCGTCCGTCCGCACGTCCGTCCGTCCGTCAACACTTCGTATGATAACTCAAATTCGTTTTAGGTAGCAATACACAGTTAGGAGTTTGGTTTCGCATTTTGGCCCCGGTGGATTTTTCAAATATGAAAGTTATTGTGTAATAAAATTCATTTTTAGACAGCTGAGTACTAATTTAGCCTTCAAAGGTGGTTTATAAGAACATCAAGATTATTTTTTACATGTTTTATGGGCTATTTTCTGTTTGACTCTCCGTGTTTTCATAGCTAGACCGGTCATCGGTCCAGAAATTAATGTAATGTTTACAAACACTTTTTTTCTACACGAAGTTTTTGACGCAATTTTACAAAAAAATGAGATGAAAGACATATGATTTTCATTGGATTTATTGAAAGATATATGTAAACAGTTTCAGAAAAGGTATTACTTGAAGTGATTGAAATTCTACTTTTGGTCAAATTTTGGGAAAATATGTGACATCTTTTCCCCCCTTTTTGCTATATTTTATAAAAAAAAAATGCAGATTGTTGCCATGGATACACCAAAAAGAAATTATATTTTACCATTTTATATACTGGATATGAAATCTATGGAAGATTCTGATTACATACATATGCACATATATGACACAAACAGTAAGCTTAATATTGCAAGAAGGCAATGAAAAGGGGATGGTAAAATTTATGAGGGAAAATTTTAACATTTTTTCCTAACTGTTTATTGCTACCTTATGGCATACTTACCAAGCTCAGAATTGTATAATTTAAGACGTTTCATACCACAAATCTATTAATATTTAGATTCTAAATCAACTTCTGAGGGGATTAAGTGTTTGAGAATGACAATACATGTCAATTTTATTGTTTGCAGTCCTTAGCAACCAAAATTAGACATTTTGACATAAGGCTTATAAGTGTACTCTATTTGCTTAACCCTTGCTTCTGAAGGATTGTGCAGTATGTAGTAGCCTCAGTATTGAATGTTTTGTATTTTTTCTTGCGAATATATCAAATTATTATTTTTATCAAGATTTCATGTTACATTTTGACAAATATTAAATGTATAGTTGATTCAGCTGTAAGAAATTGATTCCCCATTACCAAGTTTTTTAATCAGGTCTTTGGTATACATTAAACATAAGGATTAACATTTTCATGCTTGAAATTGTTAAATTTTGTACAATTTTGCATCATCAGAGGTCTTATAAAGATTTTCAACATTAAAAACTGACAAAAGAGGTATAATTTTTAAGATTTTGCCAAAAATTGAGGTAGAAAAAAGATTTTACACTTTGACTTGGCACCTTTCTTTAAATCAGTTTTTGTCGCGTTTCAGTGTCAACTGCTAACCTTCATAAAATATTCATTACTCAACCAATTTTCAAAAATAAAAGGCCATTTTACTCGTTTTAGCTAGAACAACACAGAAAATTAGTTAAAAGGGAGAATTAAAAAAAAATATTTACTATTAAGGCATACTTACCAAGCTCAGAATTGTATAATTTAAGACGTTTCATACCACAAATCTATTAATATTTAGATTCTAAATCAACTTCTGAGGGGATTAAGTGTTTGAGAATGACAATACATGTCAATTTTATTGTTTGCAGTCCTTAGCAACCAAAATTAGACATTTTGACATAAGGCTTATAAGTGTACTCTATTTGCTTAACCCTTGCTTCTGAAGGATTGTGCAGTATGTAGTAGCCTAAGTATTGAATGTTTTGTATTTTTTCTTGCGAATATATCAAATTATTATTTTTATCAAGATTTCATGTTACATTTTGACAAATATTAAATGTATAGTTGATTCAGCTGTAAGAAATTGATTCCCCATTACCAAGTTTTTTAATCAGGTCTTTGGTATACATTAAACATAAGGATTAACATTTTCATGCTTGAAATTGTTAAATTTTGTACAATTTTGCATCATCAGAGGTCTTATAAAGATTTTCAACATTAAAAAACTGACAAAAGAGGTATAATTTTTAAGATTTTGCCAAAAATTGAGGTAGAAAAAAGATTTTACACTTTGACTTGGCACCTTTCTTTAAATCAGTTTTTGTCGCGTTTCAGTGTCAACTGCTAACCTTCATAAAATATTCATTACTCAACCAATTTTCAAAAATAAAAGGCCATTTTACTCGTTTTAGCTAGAAAAACACAGAAAATTAGTTAAAAGGGAGAATTAAAAAAAAATATTTACTATTAAGGTAGCAATACACAGTTAGGAGTTTGGTTTCGCATTTTGGCCCCGGTGGATTTTTCAAATATGAAAGTTATTGTGTAATAAAATTCATTTTTAGACAGCTGAGTACTAATTTAGCCTTCAAAGGTGGTTTATAAGAACATCAAGATTATTTTTTACATGTTTTATGGGCTATTTTCTGTTTGACTCTCCGTGTTTTCATAGCTAGACCGGTCATCGGTCCAGAAATTAATGTAATGTTTACAAACACTTTTTTTCTACACGAAGTTTTTGACGCAATTTTACAAAAAAATGAGATGAAAGACATATGATTTTCATTGGATTTATTGAAAGATATATGTAAACAGTTTCAGAAAAGGTATTACTTGAAGTGATTGAAATTCTACTTTTGGTCAAATTTTGGGAAAATATGTGACATCTTTTCCCCCCTTTTTGCTATATTTTATAAAAAAAAAATGCAGATTGTTGCCATGGATACACCAAAAAGAAATTATATTTTACCATTTTATATACTGGATATGAAATCTATGGAAGATTCTGATTACATACATATGCACATATATGACACAAACAGTAAGCTTAATATTGCAAGAAGGCAATGAAAAGGGGATGGTAAAATTTATGAGGGAAAATTTTAACATTTTTTCCTAACTGTTTATTGCTACCTTATGGCATACTTACCAAGCTCAGAATTGTATAATTTAAGACGTTTCATACCACAAATCTATTAATATTTAGATTCTAAATCAACTTCTGAGGGGATTAAGTGTTTGAGAATGACAATACATGTCAATTTTATTGTTTGCAGTCCTTAGCAACCAAAATTAGACATTTTGACATAAGGCTTATAAGTGTACTCTATTTGCTTAACCCTTGCTTCTGAAGGATTGTGCAGTATGTAGTAGCCTCAGTATTGAATGTTTTGTATTTTTTCTTGCGAATATATCAAATTATTATTTTTATCAAGATTTCATGTTACATTTTGACAAATATTAAATGTATAGTTGATTCAGCTGTAAGAAATTGATTCCCCATTACCAAGTTTTTTAATCAGGTCTTTGGTATACATTAAACATAAGGATTAACATTTTCATGCTTGAAATTGTTAAATTTTGTACAATTTTGCATCATCAGAGGTCTTATAAAGATTTTCAACATTAAAAAACTGACAAAAGAGGTATAATTTTTAAGATTTTGCCAAAAATTGAGGTAGAAAAAA